TACTAGAAGGAAGCTTCCTCCCTCAACTGGAACTACAGACACTGACTTATACATGTATTGACCTTACAGTAAGCGGGAGAACGATCCAAAAACGATACCAGTCGATAAGTAACGACAGCTGAATGTCGAAGATGAGAAAAAACGCAAAATGACGATCAGTTCAAGAATAAAATTATTTAAGTTAGAACATTATAGATTAATATTTGTTCATGATGATCATTGTGGGCATTCATAGGTGGCATGCCCATCTCTGGAATGAAATTTTAACTTGGCATTTCCATCGACCGGCTAGAACTAATGTCTACAGTAATATAACGTAAATTAGTCTAACCATTGAAATGCATACTGATTCATTTCGAATATATGAAATAAGAAGTCTTTAACACATTGCCAAAGTCTTCAAAGGATTTACTCTACGTATAAATTTCATTAGACAACATTTCAACGTCTTAGATCGAGGTAGATCCATTTTTATGGGACATTAGGTAACCACTACCGTGGAAACGATGTCAGAAAGAAGTCTTTTGGGTTCAGATTCTTCGATAGCGATGGTATGAGATAGGAGAAAGGTGCATGGATATATAAGCTAGTTCTGAACTGATGTTTTGGATAATAACCAATATACTTATCATCGCGACATACGTAATATATAAACTTTCATCAGTGTATCCTGCTTGAATCCATAACTGTTGCATTGAAAGGATTTGATTAACTTGACCTGATGTTGCTGCACGATTAAAATAGATGAATAAAAATATTTAGTTTTTTTGAGTTCAGTAACTATAGGGCAAAAACGCGCATCATCGAATTTAACTAATTTGATTCATCGTGCCTACTGTATGAATGGCCGTCTGCCAGCAATGCGTGCCAAAACTGCAATGAAGTATTATTCATTTCTGATGGTATAAAATTATAAAGCGCTACCAAAGACAGCGTTGCAATGAGGTGACTAGTGGTTGAAAATTAGCAGCTATAAATTACCGTATACGTCGTTAAGAAGCACTGGCAGGTGGCTGCAACTCGCATTGAGGCCTAACGATGCGGGATGCAGCTGCCTAAGGTCAGAGGGCAAAACGGACGGTTTCGTCTAATCCATCGCCTTCGCAGAATTTATTATTCTGAGTTGATAATTTTTTCTGTGGAAGCAGCGAAATAGACCTTAGAAAGGCTATTTTTAATGTCTGGGCCGTGATAATGCATATAAATTAAAATTTTAATGAAAAACAGTGAAAATGGGACTGCCTGCACCAAACGGTTGGAGGTATTAAGCGATCCAGCAAGGACAACAGCTTGAACGAAATTGATTATTTTAAAGGAATGCGACTTGGAAAGCGACATTAGTCCTTCAATCGAAAAAGAATTCATCTCAGAAATCTTGCAACGCTGACATGCAAGTGATGCTGGCTTTTCGCGAAGTTCTTTACCAGCATCACAATGAAATGGTTGAAATTCTATTTACATGAGAAAATAGCTGAATGAACACAATGTAACATAACATATTTATAATAAATGAACAATATTTATCGTATCACCTGGATCAATCGGATAATTATATCAATAAGTCGTCTACGAGCTTAACTAAAATTGAGTGCCTCACTCCTTCTAAGGCTCTCACTTGACGGAATACAATCTACTGTAAACAGTACTGAGGACATTCATGAAACTTTGACTAACCTTCCTTTCTGTTGTCGATGTTTTGTCTCATGTTCTCTTGCGTTCCCTTTCGTAAATCTGAAA